AATTGTTTTTAAATATGGAAAAGTAGATATAGTAACTGTTTTTAAGGAAACTGTAAATCAATTTATTGTAATATATAATTATTACCATTAATATTTTATATTTTTTTATTAAATTAAAAATACCACATCAATTACAAATTCTATTTGTAATAGTTTATTTCTTATAAAATTATTTATTTCAATGTCATAATAACAAAGGAATCGATATTTTTTTCAAGCCACAAGTAGTTACTGATTTATTAATAATATATTTGTGACATTTTCCAGATTTTGAATATATTGTTTTGTTTTCATTCGTAAAACAAATGTCATTAATGAAACCATGTTATATAGTTTTCAAAATGTTTCAAAAATGAAACTAATTTCATTTTGGTTAGGAACCATGAAAACACTTTCATTAATGAAATAATAGTATTCAGGTCTTGAAATGTTTGATTGACCGAACCATATTGGTTTCATTAATAAAACCAATTTCATCTTGGCTATAAATCATGAAACCGATTCCATTTTGGTTAGAAAACATGAAACAAATTAAAAATGAATGAAATATTATTATTCAGTTCTTAAAATGTTTCATTGACTGAACAATATTTAGTTTCATATGTAAAACCAAGTTCATATTGGTTAGAAACCATGAAACCGATTCCATTTTGGTTAGAAAACATTTCAACAATTTTCACTGCCGAAACAATGTTATTCAGTTTTTAGAATTGTGGAGTCCATGAAACCAATTTCAATGATGAAACGAATTTCATTAATGAAACATGTTATTCAGATTTTTGGAAAATATTACATTGACTGAACCATATCTGACTCAAATTTCATTATATAGACGAACAATGAAACAAATTTCACTAACGAAAAAATGAGATACAGTTTCCAAAATGTTTTTATTGATAAAACCAATTTCTAAAAATGAGACGAACAATGGTTTGCCAATTTTGCCCTTTCTTGATTAAATATATAACTTTTTTTTACTTTCCTAATATAACATATTTTAATCATGACCATTGATCAAGAAAATGGATGGATGAGATTGGTTTGTAGGGTTTGCACAAAAGGAGGTGGTTTGCATTTGATCGTTTCTCTCCCTCTTTCTCTAAATATATTTAAATATATATTTATAAGGTTGGATTCAGTTTTAAATATATATTTTATAGGGTTGAATTCTGGTGAGAAGGAGAGTTAATATGAGAAGAATAAGAAGGGATTTCGACAAGATGAACCGAATCAATCCTCGTATCAAACATGATTCATTGATGGGTTTGAAATTAAAGGTGATCAATGATCCAGATACCTTCTTACGTTTCTCACCTTAATCCTTCTTCTCACATGATCCTCACCTCTATTTATGTAACCATATAAATAAAAACATATATATATATATATATATATATATACTTGAGATCATGTGAGACCAAAAAAATTTCGTGAGACCCGTAAAATCAATTCTCAACCCTTGGATTAGATATACAATCTGAATATTCATAATCATAAAATTGTTACGAGACTTCTCAATAATCACAAAATTGTCACCGTACAACTTTAGACCATTAGATCATTAGCTTATAAAGTTGATCATATAT